CGCAGCACTTCAACATGCAGCCAGCGTCTCATTGGATATATTTGGGCCAATAATCAGAGCTGTTTCTTATCTTGGACCAATCATAGATTCTTGTTGCCTTATTGAAACAGAATTGACAATACATATTCATGCATCAACTGCTGCATGATGCACTGACGCGTGACCTCGACGAGGCTCCTCGTCAGTCTTCAATTGACCGCATTGTTCACAGAGCTTGTTTGGCGATACAACACCTTTAACAATGAACGCCACCACCGCTGAATCCTCCCAGGCAAAGCTGACTCATTCACGCGAACTGCCTGGTACGGCCACAGCCACCCGCGGCCCCGTGCACGTATCCACGTTGCGCTCCGGCTTCGACCCAAACTTCACGCTGTACACAAACCTGCTAAGTCGGTTGGAGATCGACCCCGATGGTTCGCACAAACTCTTCGGCACGCGCACGGTGGATTTCGAAACCGGAGACGTCGGGCCCTACGAGTGGGTGACTCTCAATGAGTTTCTCATCGCGGTGAAGAACTGCTCGTCTGGTATGAGCCAGGAGCTCGGACTACACCGAGGAGCACTAGTGGGAATCTTTAGTAAGAACCGCTACGAGTGGTCTGTTGTAGAGCACAGCACAAATCGCATGGCGTACACGCTCGTGCCGTTGTACGACACCCTGGGCCCCACGGTTGTGCCCTACATCATCAACCACACGGAGATAAAAGTAGTTTTCTGCGCCAAGGATCAGGTCAAAACGTTCATGACCTGCGTCAAAGGCTGTCCAAGTATCGAGACTATCGTGCAGTTCGAGGCCAAGATCGATGGTGAAGACGTGAGTCTGGCCAGATCCAACAACGTGTCGCTCATGACGCTAAATCAGCTCATGGAAATCGGCCTCGTCCACCCTGTGGAAGCTGACCCACCTCTGCCTGATGACCTCTGCACCATCTGCTATACATCGGGGACAACGGGTAACCCCAAGGGTGTGATGCTCACACACTCCAACATGATCGCCTCGATCTTGTGCTCCATAGAAATCACACCACTGAACGAGTCGGATGTTCATCTGTCCTTCTTGCCGTTGGCTCACTGCTTCGAGCGCAATGTACAGGCTCACATCATCGGCAAAGGAGGATGCATCGGCTACTACCAAGGTGACGTTACCAAACTACTGGACGACATGGCAGAGCTGAGACCGACAGTATTCCCATCCGTGCCGCGATTGATGAATCGAATTCATGACAAGATCACGCAAGGCATTGCAGCCGCTGGTGGTGTGAAGAAGCTCTTGTTCGACCAGGCATATGCAGCTAAGAAGGAGTACCTTGCACAGGGGTACTACACGCACGCTTTCTGGGACCGTTTGGTGTTCGACAAGCTCAAGATGATTCTGGGCGGTCGTGTTCGCTATATCCTCAGCGGTTCTGCCCCACTGTCGAAGGTGGTGAAGGAGTTCATGGCCATTGTGTTCTGTTGCCCTGTGCTGGAAGGATATGGACTCACGGAAACTGCTGCGGTGGTGTCGTGTGCTACGGCTGATATGCCAATGACTCGACATGTGGGGATCCCCGTTGCTGGTGCAGAGATCTGCCTGGAAGATGTCCCGGAAAAGCTCTACTTGACTCGCGATACGCCATGCCCTCGAGGTGAGATCCTGACCAGATCTAAACACGTCTTCAAAGGCTACTTCAAGCAGCCAGAGTTAACGAGCGAAGTACTGGATGCCGATGGCTGGTTCCACACAGGAGATATCGGTCAGTGGAATCTGGATGGTACGCTGACGGTCATTGATCGCAAGAAAAACATCTACAAGCTCTCGCAGGGCGAATACGTGTCGCCTGAACGTCTCGAGGGTGTGTACGGTCAGAGTCCTTTTGTTGCCCAAGTGTTCGTCCACGGTGATTCGTTCAAGAACTACATGGTAGGTATCGTCGTACCAGACCCCGAGTATGGTTCTGTTTGGGCTGAAAATCAGGGACTTAAGGGGGAGGAAGCTTCATTGGAAACGCTATGTGCTCCTGGCAACAACACGCTCCTTCGTGTTATTCAGGAAGACATGCGGCAGTTGGCTCTGACTGCGAAGCTGCTTCCATTCGAGCGGGCTCACAAGTTGAGGCTGCATGCGGATCAGTTCACTCCGGAAAACGGTCTTGCCACGCCCACCTTCAAACCCAAACGCTTTGAACTCATCCAATATTTAGTGACGTCATCCATGAAATGTATGAGGAGCAAAGTAAGCTTTAAGATGTGATACAGGGGTGATAGAGCTCTATTAACACGATGGAATGATCATGTCGTTGTTGTGTCTTCATCGTCGGATGTACCCTCACCGGTTAGTCCAGCCAGCAGTGACTCGATATCCCCACTCAGCAACAAAGGCTCCATTGGTAGTCGACCTCGCAAATTTACGTGGAACTTCCGCAGCTCCGTTCGTATGCGTCGCAACTCCACTTGAAGCTGTCGATTGGCATTCAACTCTCGTGCACTCTCCATTGTGAGTTGCTTTGCACGAACAGCAAACGGCTGGATGCGTTGTTTGACTGCCTCAGTGGCTTTCTTTCTGCGCGTACGAGAACGTTCGAACTCGTTCTTGCGTTTCGATAACTCGACAAATTCTCGAGACGCCTGAGTCGAACCGGTATGCGCCTCGATACACGCTTTTTTCAGCTCTTCAATCTCCTTCTCCATTGCCACACACTGGCCTTCTTCGAGTGCCACAAGCTCAGTTTTACGATCCACGCAGTCGCGCCACACTCGAGCTTGGAACACAACACTTCCCGTTGCGTTACGAAGCACCCCATCCACCTTGTTCTCGGCTCGTGTGTGTGCTTCTCGATCCCGATGATCACGAGCTTCACGGAATACCTGTCGGTTCTTCAAAGTCCGGTACCAGCGCTGCAGTACAACAACATGTTGCGTCTCACGCTCGAAAGCTTCTAGAGCGTGATGAGCTGTTTGCTTCTGCGCTATCAACGCAGCTCGATCGCCTTCTTCCTGGACACGACGAAGCTGCTGTCGCTCCTCCATGAGAGACCGCCACATCATTTTGCCTAACTTACCTCGCCATACACGCTGTACTATGGCTGCCGCTCGGGTGAGTTCATATCGAAACCATTTCGTATACACGCGTCCGAAGTGACCACGCACAAGTGCCTGAATTTGAGTAGCTGAGCGGTGCAATAGCTTAATGTACGTTGGTGTCAGCCAACCACGCGTTGTCAGTGACGCACGGTAGAGCGACACAATCGAATGCACAGCACCTCGGTGGAGAAATAGTCGACGATCTTGTTGCGGAGAGGCGATAGCGTCCAAAATTGCCGTGTGTTGACGATGACGATCATTTCGCAACCTCCGCGCTGTTGCCAACGCCTTGGAGAGCCACATCCGCCACGTAGCTTGGATCTTGGTCGCACTGCGTCGTCGGAGACACAAGAGCGCTTCAAACCGTGCAAGGCGCACTAGAATGCTGCGCAGAAGTCACAAAAGTGGTAAGTACAATGATCACGAATTAGTCTCCTTCACCAGCAAGATATACTAACATGATACTGCGGAAGAAATGCTGGATCGTTCGTGCTCCAGTGTCTTCCAAATACCAGCGCTGTCGCTGACGAGCCAGGCGTAGGCGTGCCTCACGTCGTCCACAAAATCCTCGATATCTTCTTTGTACAGAGAAGGCAATGACCATACCAGCATCGCGCTTGTGTTTCCAAATCACCGCGAGGTCACGAGTGTAGATGGAATACTTCATCAAGATGAGAATTCGAGGATGAGATGCGTAGCCACGTCCAAGTACAATCACTCGAGCGTCACGCCGTCCACGAAACCCACGAAATACCTTCTGCAGCGCGGTAGCTCCGCGAAATAGAATTCTGCGCAGTGACACCCGCGCGATGTGAGCTCGATAAGCCCGTTGAATCTGCTTTGCTCGAGCGATTTTCGACTGAAGCAACTCATACGCAGCCACTGCACAACGTTTTGCATACTGCCGCCCCAGAAACCCCCGTATTAGCCGCTGAATGTGCAGACCAGCCAGGAAAATTGTGCCATGCAGTTGTATCGCCTTTTGTATCACCGCTTCGTACTCTCGACGTAGTTGTGCTGTGCCTTTCCTAGACTGATGTCCTCGAAAGACGCGCTGCACATCTGTGGCGGCCTCTGCTCGGCGTTTGTTCCAAAGTTCCCGAGCGTGTCGTGCATCAACAGCTCTCCGCCGTCCCAGCCAACCTCGAGCTATGCGCTGGATCTCGGTTGCAGCTTTATCACGTAGCATACGAAGTTGTTCGGCCTTCTCGAACACTGCACGCTGACGAGCAGCAATAAACATGTGGATGAATATTCGCAGCCGACGACTTAACACACAGAGAGCTTGAATCCACCTCCAGTACTTTTCACACTGCTCGACTCGAAGGCGTCGAGCTTCAGCAATCAGTCGACGCTGCATTCTTTGGTCTGCCTTGCATCGATACCAGCGCTGTATCCGTGCTGCTGTGACTTTCTGCCGTCGAAAATGTGCAAGAGCTCGCTCAAGTGTGGACTTTGCACTGACTCGGGCGTCCAGTTTACAGCGCAACCAGCGAGTAATTGTCCGTGCTGCTACTCGGCGTTTGCGTTCACGACGCAAGAAGGCAACGACATTGGGATGTCGCGGTGTTAAACCATCGCGTGTGGCTTCGCTGATATATCCACGTGCAGCAGCTAAGGATTTCAACACTGGTAATGAGATTTCCGGACAGTGACGCACATCTAGCCGGACAAGACTGGTTGCTGGACGCAGTAACGACGCTATTCCAGTGTCTGTAAGCTGCCAGTCATTCGCTAGGATGAGCGTTCCTAGGTGCGGACAGCACGGAGCCTTGCTCACTGCTATCAATGATTCGTCACAAATCTGTTCACAGCTCTCAAGCTCCAGTACCCGAAGTCTAGGACAACCTCGTAGCACCGCTAGAAGGCTCTCAACCGAGAAATATCGCGACCGACTGAGTCGAAGGATGCGCAGGTTGACGCAGCAATTACCCAGAGCCTCGCAAAGTGCGTCTGTCGCGAGATACGTCACGTCTAGATCAGTTAGCGAATTCGCCAAAGGTGACGATTTTCTGGTATTCAGCAAGGTGGATGCTAAAGTATCTGCGTCGCATTGTGTTGTGCCAATGTGTAGAGTTTTCAACGGGCTGCTAGTCAACGCAGCGATGGTGGTGTCGCTAAGTTGAGGAGCGGAGAAAAAAGCAGCACAAGCTCCCGGGACAGCGGCTTCATCTTGACTATTCCTCACGAGGATGCCACTCCACCGGATAGTACGCAACTTACGGCATCCGTGAAGCAAAGCACGTATACCCGAAGAATCTAGTCTTCGCACACCATCCAGTGTCACCGATCGAAGCTGTGGACATCGAATGCCAAGAGCTGAAATTCCTCGAGTTGTAACCTGGAAACAGCCTGTAATGTCCAGAGTTTCCAGATGTCGACAGCCACTCTCCCCATTTCGTGGGATCGCTCTACTGGTGTTTTCTAAGCCAAGATCTTCTTGGTCTTCAATGGTAGGTTCGTGTCCAGCACCATCGTTTTGATCAGCACGAACTATCGCCGTCTCCCCTACGAGTCGTCGAATGCCGACATCGGTGATGTTCGAGCAGAAAGCGAGTAGCAGCATCGCGAGTTTGGGACACGCCAGTCCCAATGCAGTAAGGATCTGGTCATCCACCAGCGAGCAGCGTGAAAGATCTAGTTTCGTAAGACGTATCAATGCGCGCACTTGTGCTAGGCGCTGCAGGGCTGCTACTCGCAATACTGTGCACCCAGACATATTCAACACCTCGAGACGCGAAGCACAAGGACCACGCAAGCCAAGCAACGTGAGACCGTCAACTAATGGCAGACCGGCAACGTTTAGTACACGGATACGAGCAGAAGCTGACAATGTGGCCATTTGAGCTCCTCCTGGTACTGCTGGCGACGATGAGGAGCCCACCAACAGAGCAAGCAACGCAGTGTCGGTGAGCTTTGTACAAAAACTCACATCCAAAGAGGTTAGAGATGCCGCGTAGCTTTCGCCGAAGGCAGCAACGCCGTAGTCCGTGACACGTCGGCAGTGAGCGAGAGTCACTTGTGCGAGAACGGAGCAGTGACGAGCTAAAGTGCGAAGAAACTTGTCATCTACCCATTCGCAGGAGGACACGTCCAATTCCGTCAACGAGCGGGGCAAACTACCGCCATCAAGTATTTCTCCACCTCCACGAGATAGCAACTGGCAATGCGGCAGTCTAAGAGCACGAAACATTCCGCCACCTGCTGTACCTACTTCCAGCATCAAAAGAAGCCCACGAGCGGAGATATGCGCACTGCCATCCACTGTGAGGGTATGGAATGAAGATTTGACCGGGTTGTCATCCCGATCGTTGTTGAGCTGAAGTTGTTGAAGCGATGCATCCGTGACGCGCCAGCCACTGAGATCGACATGCGAATGATACACCCGTCGACGTGGATCGAAGAACACAACATCTCTTGGCAGGTGTAGCTGTAGCTTGGCCAAATTTCTTTCGTGTGCTTTGGCGCTGCTGCTTCTGTATTCGTTGCTGGATGCATTCGTTCGCACTGCATCTTTGTGGTTGGTGGAGACGCGGGCAGCAATAGGAACGACGGGGGCTAATGGGAGCGGCAGCGGTCGCTTTTTGGCCCGCCGTGCTCCGTCATTCACCATTTATCATTGAGGAATGGCTATCGCTAGAAGGACACTGCGAAGCGTCGGTGGTCATTTTCAAAATTTCTTCTAAAGGCGCAACATAGTATGGCAAAGACCTTCATGCCAACTCCTACGATCTGTGTTACAGCGCTGCTCACAGCTCTTGTCATAATTATGGGGAGCATTTCGGAGTCAGAAGCATTGACGTCGGACACTGCAACACTGGTGATCACAGCGCCCGACAAGGGGGACGAACTTGAAGAGCGTGCTTATCTGGAGGAGAAGAAGGAGCTAGAAGTGGAAATCGATACCCGGGATCCAAACGCAACCATCAACACGGACATCTACAGGTGATTTGTCATTCCTTGGAGCTAATTCCTTTATTTCTTTCTCTTACAGGTTTTAATTGTTGTTATACAACCATCCAGCTTCGTCGAACCATCAGAATATGTGATAGGGTTATTGTTGGATCCTTGTCGGAATCACCCCGTCGACTGCTGCGTCGATCGTTTTGGAGAACCAGCGTATGTGGATTCGTCAGCTACAATTGCTGAGAAAATATCTCTAGTGGACGAGTCCGGAGCAACACTGGATGTGTCTGTCAGTAGAATTGGCGACCGCCCTTCAATCTTCGACCAGAATTGCTATCTCGATGATAATCTGGTTCCATATCGTCTTCAAAAGACACTGACCCGAAGCGGATTGACGGTCACGAAAAATTACACTAACTCGGGGTGCATTGGGCGTCTGCGTGCTTTGATACCACTGGAAGAGGTAGTGCGGCCAGCCTGCTGGGACTACAATGACTCGATCAGCGCGCTTACATCTTGCTACAATGTGGACGGCCGTAAGCAGGATACATGCGTGGCAGTTGGATTCATGCAAACCAGCTTTATCGTCCAGTGTGGTGGAACCTTTGAGCTTTCAAACCATTGCGGCACGTTCCTTGAGCTACATGAACCAGGAAACGAAGGGATATTAAGCCAGACGCGGTTGATGAGGCAGTACCCAAACGGATTTCGCACCACGACGTTGCCGCTATTCTTCCAAGGCGACCGGACGCGAACGATTTGCATGGGTGACTACGAGATCTGGTGGGTCCAGCGCACGCGGTACAATTTCATCGTCCAGAAGAAGAAAAAGTTTCGCGTCACTTCACCGCAATGCGATTTCGACTTCGCCACAAACAAATACAAGAACTACCATAAAATCACTTGATTAATGAACACCAATGACAATTTTTATCGGCATCTGAATTTCTACGCGAGCCAGCCATCAGTCGAAAATGGCATAGAGGAACGCTTGGTTGGTGAGAATGCCACCCTGTAGTTAGGAGGAGGCCCTGACCGCCGCAGGACAACCGTACACAACTCGCATGTCCGCGCATCGGCTTTGTTTCGGAACCCGCACGCAGAGCATTGACATAGACTCTGGAATTCGACAGATTCCGGATTTTGAGCAGCACAAATCTCGCAAGTCGCCGTCACTCTCGTCTGCTGGTGGAAGCAAACAGGGCATTTCCAGCCACTTACCTCGCCTTCGCCACGTTTGGATGGAATACGCTGAATTCTTGCCTTTGAGCTCAAATTGGTCTCAATCACCGGCAGATTCAGTTTAAGAACCTGGAGACAAAAAATTTAACATTAGTGATAGAACAAAGCAACTACATAGATTGCTACGCACCTCCGACTGACTCGGTCTTAAGCGGTAATTTGTTGTATCAGTTGTTACTCGATCGGTGGGGACGGTACGGATGAATTGTGGTTCAGGATGCAAAACTTCGGAGCTAGAGAGTGGTTGCATATCCTTGACAACTCGAGTTATTGGATGTACTTGTGCTGGTGGTGATTTCGGGGGAAGGGAGGTAGCAACAGTCTGGCAAAAATCAATGTAATCGAACTTTTCACCAGACACTGCGGTAAAGCGCGAAATGATAGTCGACGCTACATCGGACGGTAAGAAGATATCAAGCTTCCTCAGCACTGAACCGAATGCATCAATAGAAACGAATCCCGTGCTCCTGATATCATAGGGCTCAAACTTCTGCCGCAGAGTCACTGAATCGATTTGCCGCATGTTGAAAAGCTCAGAGAAGAACTGCCTCACGAAATTATCGATACGCTCCGCTTCCTCAAATGAGAGAGGAGTCTGGGTAGACTCCTTTTCGGGGTCTATATACGTAGGTTCTACCCGATAAGACTGACTGAGAGCTACAGGACTTGGTATCTGAGTAGATTGCAGCTTGTCTGAGTATTGGGGCTCCCGATCGAGGTGAAGTATCTCAGTACTTCTTGCTCGCACCTTCCGCGGCCTATGCTGGCGATCTGGACCCATTTGTTGGACCAAAAGATTATAATTGATTTGAGCCGATTTTGGATCTCCAAGAGCAGCTTTCACTGCCTCAAGTTCAGTGTCTGCCAACTTACACCCCATCAGGCGTAGCACTGTCTGGAATTCCAGCAATGTGAGCTTCCCAGTTTTCGCAACATCACACTTTTCAAGTAACTTCCGACCGCTGATGTTGTGTTGAGCTGCGGCGAGAAAACATCGATAGATCTTTTTCGCCAGGGTAGGTTCGAGAGTTGGTGGAATTGCTGGAGCGACTGGTTTGACTTCTACAGGTGGAGAAGCCTCAGGTTCGGCAGGTGTAGGTTTCTCCTTTAGCGGACCAATAGCGGTGTTAACCTGCTCTTCGATGGCTGCAATTAGTGGTTTGACTTCGTACAAAGTCCTACCATAATACTCTGTCTTAAAGCATGTGAGTAGCTTGGTTACATCTTTATTGCTCAGGCGCAAAGAGAGGGTCATCAGGAGCTTGTAGATCTTTTTTTCACTGACAGCCTCTTGTTTCTTCGCAATAGATTCCTTAGTCAGTGTGCCCAACAAAGATTTCAGAGCGTCAAGATCTGCCGGAGTTTTGTGAGCATGTTTAATTGCTTGGAGTAATGCTGCCCCGACAGCCTTCGAGAGCTTTGTTGTGATTCGATATTCTTCATCACTGCTGCAAGACAACTCGTCGTCACTGTCACTGCTACTGGAGTCACTATCAACACAAGTTGCCGCTACCTTTTCTTGTGCTTTTGATAGATCTCCCAAAAAGACTTCGTAGTCGATCTTCGTGCCATCGCCACTTGCCACAGCATATGCCTGTAGTAATAACTCGATGTCCATGTCTTTCATGTTGTACACCACACGCTGGATTACCAATCGATCCAAGAATTTATCGATAACCTTTTCAAAGACTCGAACTGTCACACGCGCTTCATTTTGACTCGCTCGATACTTGCTAAAGTATTTAGCAAACGGAAAGGGTGGACGTAAGAGCTTGTTCAGCTTACCGATTTCGTTCAATACTGGAGCATGAGGTTGCTCATCAGGCTTTGGTGGACTGCCTAGTGGTAAACTAGCTGATGAGTTTTTTGTGGTGGACCCTGCAGTTGGGGAAGCGGGAGCCAGTGTTTGAGAGCCAGAAGCTTCTTCGCCTTTTACCGATTTTGTTGGAGATGGAAATGGTGATATACTAGGTTGCTTTTCGATAAGAATTTTAGACTTCTCATCGGCGTGTTTAGCGAAGGAAACAAATTCTGTGTACGATATTGCGCCGTCGCCATTAGTATCTAGAAATTGGAGCAGAAGTTTTTCGTCTTCTGGACTGAGGAAGTGCCGAAGACCAGCTTTTTGAAGAAGCTGCAGAAATTCATCATGCGAAATAAACCCACTTGAATCTGCATCCAGCTCGGAAAATAGACCAAACAATCGTGCACCAGCATCTTTTCCGGTAGACAAAAACGCCTGTAGTTCCCCTAGAAGTCGTTCAACGTGATTATCAAGGATACCCGAATTGCCTGTAAAGAAGGCACTGGGACCATTTGATAAAAACTTGCGGAACAGCGCGACATTGAATCCCGAATTCTGGTGTAGCTGAAAACAGTTCATTATGGCTTCTAGCTCTTCGCGCAAGTACGGATGGTGGACACCCGCAGCCCACAACACGTCTTTAAAGTCGTCAGTCGACATGAAAATGCACTTAGTTGAGTCTTTCTCCACTCCAAAAGCTCGATCAATATCAAAAGCGTGACCACTTGCTTCCAGCCTTTTCTTCGCCTCATAATATTGCTGATGCAATGTCTTTAGCAAACTGAGGATCTCCGATGGTGGCGACTCCAAGAGTGGCTGCGTCTCTCCATTTTGCTGGCATTTTTGTGCTAGTGCTTCACAAAAACGTAAGTAATGGACATCTCCACCAACATCGTCGTCACTCGCAAACTCTTTCACTAAGACGTCCATATCCTCCTTTGGCACAGCAACACTCATTTCTTTGAGCGTCTCGACAAAGCGATTTGCGGGAACCAGACCAGTAGTTTCTTTATCGATAATGCCAAACATTCTCTTGATTGAGCCACAGTATGCTCCAACATTTTCACTTGTGAGTTGTTCATGCATAGTGATGTCTTCGATAATACGTTGCAGAACAGGATCTGGAAGCATGGAAATGTTAAGTCGTCTGCTGGAAGACGACGACGACTCTGCAAGGTTAAAACGGAGAAACTCGTTGAAGTCAATGGCACCAGACGAATTGGGGTCAAATCGCCGCATAAGTCCCTTAATTTCTTGATCGGTCAGGTACTTATCCACACCAAGCTCACGAATGGCTACTTCAAACTCGGACAAAACGATTTGCCCAGTGTTGTCCTTGTCAAAAAGCCGGAAAGGAACCATGTAGTCAAACTTACCATCAGGGGTTTTGGCACACCGTTTTAGTTCGTCACGAAGCAGCTTTACACCTTCAAGGAACTGAGGACTGTCATAATGAGTGACAAACTCACTCTTCATGTTTCTACGGTCTTGATTTTCTCGAATTACTGCCAAAAACCGGTCAATCAGCACGGCACCGTCTCCCCCACAATTTGCTCCAGTATACTGTACCACGTAAACCAAGTCTTTCAGATCAATCTGCCGCGTCGACTTTTCCACTGCTAATGCGTTCAACTGCTGCGAGAAATTGACTAGAGACAATTTCCCGTTGGCCTCAATATTGAGACGATTGTAAATCTCGTCGATGTCAGACTTCACAGGTCCTGATCCAACCAACTTCCTCAATTCATAAACCATGGTTGAACTGCCACAGAGCCATACGACAACATAAATAGTTAGAACTACATCTTTTCAGGCAGAGTACAACACATGGTAACGCACATTTTTTTGGGCACGTGATTGACAAATGCATGGAATGCTGCCTGATTTACCTCGCCGTTACTTGCTGGGGCCATCAATACTTGCAGCAGATAAATTTGCTCTGCGTTCAAGCGCTTCCTTCGCTGCCGGAGAATGCGGTTGATTGTTTCGGAATCAAGGCGACCATGCCTAGGTTTCAGCAAGCGCCAAGCAGATGCTGAGTCAATATTGCCGTCTTTAGCCAGTTTCTTATTCTGCTTTTCAAGCGCCCAAACTCTGAGTTCATCAGCTGCCTCTGCAATTCGTCTCGCAGACCTGGCTGACGCATCACAGATCCCAGTGATGTAGCTCAGGAAGTCGGAGTAGTCGACAACGCCGTCTTTGTTGACATCAAACCGTTGGATCACTTTACTAAGCTCACTGTTTGTGAAACTCAGCTGGTTGGTTGCAAAAATTCGCTGAAAATCGGAGCGACTCAGCTTTCCGTCCCCAAGCGTATTGTATGACTGAAAAATTAACCGGTAGTTCGGGACGTTGTGTCCAAAGCGCGTCGTCATCGTACGTTGCAGCGAATTTACTACATCATCACTGCAACAAGAGATACATTAGAGGGCTTTTGGTAAGTGCATCATCATTTTACAGCGTAGAGGAAACTCTGTAGTTATGTAGGCTTACATGTCAAAATCCGTGAGCTCTAAGAATTGAGCAAACGTACCGACGTGAATAACCTTGGTGCCGAAAGGATTGATTCGCTCCCAGACAAGTCGAAAGTCCTGCAACCAGATCGATAGATGAGTAGGTAAGCTTGAAAGCTCAACATCACTACTGTCATAATTCCCACCTTCTTGTCCATTTTAATGCCAAACGTCTCGATACCAGCAAGTACTGCTTGCTTGGTAATGGCCCGCACCTTCTTGGGGTCAAACTCGTCATATAAACGATTGAAGTTCAAGGAACAATCTTGGTCAATCGGACAGTTCCGTCGAAGTGTTTTTCGAACTTGGGCTTCCAAGTCATCGATGTGACTGTGCAGATTTGTTCGTGTTCTCGGAGAAGTAATCGTAAGGTCGATGTGCGGAGGTTCAACTAGGTCCTGAGTAGATAATGCGCGGCGTCGCCGTAGCCACAGAAGCACACCTTGCTTAGTATTCTTCTCGTTCAAATTCCCTGGTACAAGCTTGAAGCCGCGATGGCGGGGTATCCATAAGCGTGCGGCATTTTTGTCACTTAGATCTCCACTCGTGAGTGAGAGATCGATCACCTCGTTGGTCATTTGAGTGCTCGGAGGTACAACGCTCATCCAAATGTACTTGTGCTTCCCAAAGGTCCCATTTCTGTTGATATCCTGCTGTAGACACGTATATCCTTTCGACACCAGCTCAGTGTCTCGCGAACTCACAGCGTACTTGATATTGGAAATAGCAGCCTTTCCATCCTCTTTAGCCGCTGTTCGGAACCAGAGATGCATCGGACTGGAATTGTTCTCGTTCTGTAGTTTTGGAAACAGTTGAACGTAGTTATCTCTGCGTAACGTTACCTCTTCCACGCTATTTGTTGAAATTCTGACGTCGACGACACCATTCTCTCGAGGAGGGTGAACAAGCTCCTCGGCCCCTCTTTCGTCCTTGAGAAGAAGTTCCAAGTCATGGAGTTTCACCAATCCATCCTTATCGGAGTCCATGAGGCTCATGACAAAAGCGAGTTCCTGTAGGATAGTTTTCCGGCGGTGTGAGGTTTCAAATTAGCAATCACGGGGAAATGCAGAAACTGCAACGTACTCCTGTCGTTAGCACGACATCCAAGTCGCGCATGATGGCAGCGTGAAACAGGTCTGGCACCATCGCCGTACCATCAGGGGGTGCCAGTCGCTTAAACGTATCTGCGATCTCATTATCTGTTAAATCAAGGCTCTTAAGATGTTTCCGGTACTTGAACAATAGCAATCGCCTGTACAAACAAAGGAGCAAGGGAGATCAACCAGTGCCTGACTAAATTTCAGGGAATCTGCAGTAGTAAGAGCAAACGCACAACTGGTCCTGATCTAGAAGACAAAATTCCACAAAATCCCGGTGCAGCAGCAGTTTCTGGTAGTCGCACTCGAGGCGGTGGAAGAGCGCGTCTACCTGGTCGCTCGGAATGGCGCTCTCGAAGGCCGGGTCACTCGCCACGAGCTTGCGAAACTCGTGCGCCTCCAGGACCAACTGCTGCGGTTCACCGTGAGCTGTCTTCTTGATTTTAGAGGCATGCTGCTGTGACCCGAACTTCTTCATGAGGTCTTTGAGGTAGTAATATATGCTGTTCTCGGCGCGCATTGACGCTGCTTTCTCGCGGAAGACCTGGCGCGCGTGATGGCCTAGCAGGTCGTCAGAGTGCTTGCATAGCATGTAGGCGCCCTCGCGCACGCCATCCAGCGTCAAGTTCGTCAGGAACTCGCCGTTCTCCGCCATTGTTGTCGACGTGCGTGCGGAATTCTGGGAGTGATGGTCTGACTTCAACGAAACTCCCGCTCTATTATTGGACAATATTCATTACAATTTTCGACCACTGGTCAATCGAGAAAGCGTTCTTCTTCCAGCAGCATTTTTTTTTTTCACCATCATGGAGCTGGATCGAGCGGACGAGGAGGTGCTGCTGGAGAAGGTGCCACAGCAGCTCCCAGCTGGACAGCGCGATGAGCGCAAGGACTACTTCTTCGCAGTGACCTTCGCTGCCAATTGTGCCTCTGTGCTCTTTATTGCGGTACGTCATTCTGGTGCCCCAGAATCCCTAATCAGATGCCCTCAACTAATGAAAAATATAAGCTATTCTTTGGCCTTCCGAACGTGTCAAGTATCTACTTCACCGTGCATCACGAGGACGACTCGTCACACGGGCTCAAGATCTTCCTCATCTTCCTGGTAACGTCGTGTATCGGCGGGTGTGTGTCTGCGCTGTGGCTACAAGTATTGCAGAATCACGCGGAGCGTGTCATTTCCTGGACGCTGAAGGCCAGCATAGTGGCTTTTATCGCGGCATCACTTGCTGCCTTCTACGACTCTGGCATGGCTGGCAAGGCCATTGGCTTCATCAACCTGTTCTTCGCCCTCACGATCATCACGTACTACGCTTCCGTTCGTCGATCGATAGCCTTCGCGGCATCTAATTTGACAGCAGCTTCTCGTATCCTGCGGGTGTTTCCTGGCGTGATTACATCAGCGTACATGGCGTTGTTAGCGCAGGCCGTGTGGGTCATGATCTGGGGTGCAGCTGTCGTTGGCGTTCTCGCTAAAGCAGTCGATCACCTCCACGATTCAAGCTCTTATGGAAACACGTGCTTTTTCTTCATGCTGCTAAGGTACGACTCTGCTGTTGTGCTAATAAAGTTTTCTCCATAGAAATTTCAGCATTGTTTTCACCATTTGTGCAGCTTCTACTGGTTTGTGCAGGTGGCAAAGAATGTGGTGCACTGTATTACCGCCGGTGCGGTGGGTGAATGGTGGTTCGGCGCGCAGGATGTCAACACGATTCAACGAGCTCAGACCCGTGCGTTGACGACGTCTCTCGGATCGATTTGCGTTGGCTCGCTTGTGGTCGCTGTTCTGAACGCTCTGCACACGCTTTTGCTATCTGCCCCGCGGCGAAAGGCCAAGGGTAGCGCCAACGCCTTCTTGGAGTTCCTCGTCAAGCTGGTCATGCGCAACATGCAGTATTTCAACAAGTATGCGTTCTGTCAGGTGGCGTTGTACGGGAAAGATTTTCGGCTAGCTGGGACGGATACAATGCATCTCTTCCGAGACCGTGGCTGGACGGCGCTTCTAAACGATTCGCTTATTTCGAGCGTCCTGTCGGTTGGGTGTTTGGTTGTTGGTACGATATGCTTGTTTTGCAAATGTGGATGAAATCTTCAGCTAACCCAGATGTGACAATGCGTGACAATTCCCGCTGGCAGGCACCGTGTCCGGAGTCATTGGATCGGCGTGGCTGTACCTAACGCTGCGGTGCACGCCAGACGAACTGGCCGAGCATCCGGGCGAGTGCCGTACGTGACTATTTTGGTCTATGTAATCTCCTTGGGCAAGGTTCCGTGCTCATGTGTGTGTATTGTGTGCTGCTGCAGAGACTTTCAATGTTGTGCTGCTGACTTTCGTGGCATGCGCATCAATCGGGTACGCCATGTGCACGATCATGTCGTCAATCCTAGACTCGATCGTTGCGACCATCTTCGTGTGCTTCGCCGAGGTACGTTTGCATGCAGAGCTGTCTCTCACAGTATCAACTTGATGGTGGTGCACAGTGGCTCTCGCCAGTCAGCCAGACGTTGAATCCGACGAGGATACACCTGGTCGGAAACGGGGCATTCCTGCCATGCACCACCATTTTCTCACGTTTCCTGCCATCCGATTTTCCTCTTCGTCGCGACTAACCAGTGCATGTTGTTCTTGTACAGGACCCCGCGGCATTGCAGCGATCGCACCCGGACGAGCATGCTCGCCTCGTGGAGGCCTGGAGCCGCCTGCAGCCAGACTTGCTGAGCTTCCCGACTCACATGGTGTGATGCGCTGTCACCGAGATGTTACAGCAGAAACGGTCCAATGTACGAAAAAAGATTTTCCGACATCAGGATTGGTTGGTAAACATTACAATATGATTTCGCCGATTATCATTGGTTGGTAACCAGAATTGTTTGAATTTCAAAAGATCCTCGAATTTTTTGACGTGCAAGTGCAGCGTGGTCATTCTCAGACAGAACGCGTCGGTCACAAGCAAAACCTGTCGTTGCTGAGATCGCTCGCTCGCGATGGTGCAGCTACTTCAGAGACGCGTGGTCGATGCCGTCTCGCAGTCGCTCGTGGAGATTAAGGTCGACATGAAGCACCCACCACCTCGCCAGTCGCCATCACTGACGCCCACACCACTGGCTGTGCAAGTGCTGCGCTTTCGGCCTGAAGAGAAGGAGACGGCCACGTCGCTCAAGAAGAACCGCTTTGTGTACGAGATCGAGTCGTGCCACCAAGAGACCGGCGACGTCTTCCGCACCGAGCGCCGCTTCCGCGAGTTTAAGCGTCTGCGCGAGGCGCTGCTGCTCGAGTGCCGCGACTGCCCGGACTGTCACCCGTTCGTCGAGAGGCTCAAGCAGTCGCGCCTGCCTGCAAGGCAGATGGTCGTGCTTGATGTAAACAAATACGGTGCTTCGCGTATGCTGGAGCTTACACACTTCCTGCGAGACCTCGTCCGTTTCGTCACCGAGTACGCGCACCATTGTTCACGAGATGGGCCTGATATTGACAAGTCCGTGGGCTTGTTCCTCGGTCTGGACTCGCTTACTGAAGCATTAGACGGCGTTACAACCCCAGGGAAGGTGGTACAAAATGTGCCGCTTAAAACGCGCCAGGACCGGATCGATTTCCGTGCTGCTTCCATGCCCGACATGCGATTCTCGTCCTTGTCTGTGCGTCTCTCCGACGACTCGCTGCAGCGTATTCGCGCTCGCGGCTACTCGGATGTCGGTTATATTGAAGGCCGCCAAGCGACAAGAGGTTAGCTCAGTTGTTGCTTTGCGTGCTTGCTCTCTTTCGAGTGTAGCCATTGTCGCGTAAACAAGTATTTATACAGAATTCCCCGGCAAATCCACAACTGCAGTCGTTGATATCCCTCGTGCAGTCAGTGGTCAGACGCAAAGAGAGATGGGCAGCACTAGACAGGACGCGTACTGAATTAATTTAAATTTGGCGGGAATTGGTCATCTCGCAGGAAATGCCATGCATGTGCAAGTTGCTGCATTACAGGAGCAAATGAAAGGCTCAGGAAGAAAATAATGTATTGCAGTGCCTACCTAC